GGTTTCATAACTGCTGACACCAGGTCTGCTCTGTGTGTGACAAAGACTGCTGATATAACAACATCGATTCTCAGGGTTTCACTTCTGATTCTTTCTTGAGAAGGTTTTATTATGTTGCTGATGCTGGCCTTGATCTCACTGCTTTCCTGCCTATATCTCCTTAGTATTTGCAATGCAGATCTCCTCCTCAATCTGAAGTAAGTGCTTTCCACCAAGCACTGTTGTTTATGCCTCCAATCCCAGCATTCAGGAGGGTCTCAATAAAATTATATAGGAAAATTAAAATTGTTTTTTCAGTCCAACTGCTGAGAAAATGAACTTATTTTTAGAAATTCCTAATATGGTAAGATATGCTTTTATTTGGCTTTGTTAGAGAATGAAATTTTAGGAATATGTCATTTTTCTACATGTCTAATCTTGCCTTTCAAATGCCAATTCTAAAAAGAAAAAAAAAGATAATATTTTGAAGAATTTCTGAAATGATCGCTTTCCAGACCTTTTCAAACTAAGAAGATGTCAAATGAAAGCTTTCTTTTATGACTCAGACTTATCCTGATGAGCATCAGTTATTTTATTATTAAGTAACTTACTTTTATAGAATTTTTATTTCACATACATATGAAATGTATAGGTACTCGATATAGAGAAACGATATATCTCTCTAAACTTTCTTCTAAAACTATCTTCCCCTTTGCCAAATATATTTATGTTTTGTGTTAGAGATTTTATATATATATATATATATATATATATATATATGTATATGTGCATTGTGCATTTCTCTGTTCTGGAAGTTGTACTCAGAGCCTTGTGCTTTGCTAGGCAAGCACTCTAGCTCTGAGCCACATCTCTAGTCTATTATATTTTTCATTTCATGCACATAAAATAAAAATAGCATCTGACATGAAAAGAGTGGATTTAGTAAGAATTATTTTTTATTATCCTTTATTGATATCAAAATGATTTTTATTACTTGAAGATTCCAGGCTGTCTTGGGAGGAGCTGATAATTCTCTAAGTTGGGCGTCTATGATAATCAAGACTTGTTTTGAAATTATGCCAGGAATTTACAATACATTACACTGAAGAACTCCAATTTCTTTTAAAAATCTGCTTTTAATCTTTTAAACATTTTGAAGTAGTTGTGGTAAAAAAAAAAAACAATTAGTCTAGGAAGAATTCTTTTTGACTGTAAAAGATGCTGGGGTTTGAGGGAATGTGGTATAGATACATCAGACTAACCTGTAGTTGGCTATTAATATATCATAACATTTGTATAGAGGTGGATTTTATTTTGCCTTTACTATGTGTTTGTTCATATCTTGAACATTCAAATGAAAAGTCAACTGAAAATTTGAGGGTAAGTTTATTGTTGAACTTTAGCTAGGTGGGTGGGGGTAATATCACATGTATGAGAATGTATATCAGTGATTATATTTTGGAGATCCATGCTATTGCCAAGTCATTTAATGCCCCTTTGTTGGGAAAGTGATCTTGATGGATTACTCATGAAACCCTTGCAATGATTTCTTCTATGACTGGTTCACACTAAATCAAAATAAGGATGAGATTTAGTAAGCAGTGGGATCACAGGAAAGGGTGATAAATAAACAAATCTATGTTGACAAAATGACCATAAGCCATGCTGGCTTTATGCTATAGATATGATTATTATATTTTTCCACTACACAGTAGCTAAAACAGCCCTACTGGCTGCTGGGTGCTGGTGGCTAACACTCTGGAGACTGAGGGCTGAGGATCACAGTCCAAAGCCATCCTTGGAAGGGTAGAACATGAGACTTTTATCTCCAATACATTACCCCCCCAAAAAAATACTGGAGGCTAACCTTAAGGGAAAAAAAGAAGCTTAGGGATAGCTTCCAGGCTCTGAGTTCAAGTCCCAGGATAGGCATAAAAAACAATAAAAAAGGGCTAGGAAGGTGGTTCAGTGGTAGAGTGCTTGCCTTGCATGCATGAGGCCCTGGGTTTGATTCCTCAGCACCACATAAGCAGAAAAAGCTGGAAGAGGTACTATGGCTCAAGTAATAGAGTGCTAGCCTTGAATTGAAGAGCTGAGGGACAGCGCCCAGATCCAGAGTTCAAGGCCGACGACCAGCAAAAAAGAAAAAAGATAACCAACCCCACTTGAAAAGCTTTTAGAAGTATTTTGAAATGAAAATATGAGCATCAATATTCTCTAGGAAGAAATTAATGAGATACTCATAAGAACACAACATAATTTAGCATTTTTCCATGTAGTATGATATTTTCATATTCTTGATGGGCCATTTATTCATGAGTTTAACTTGTTCATTATTTCATTGTTATAGAGTCAACCTCTACTTTTGTACTGACAATCTAGGAGTCAGAAACGTAATTTTAAAATGGAAAATTCAGGTCTGGGAAGGTGGTTTAGTGGTAGAGTGCTTGCCTTATGCATGAGGCCCTGGGTTTGATTCCTCAGCATTACATAAGTAGAAAAAGCCAGAAGTGGCACTGTGGCTTAAGTGGTAGAGCCTTGAGCTGAAGAGCTGAAGGAGAGCACCCAGGCCCCACAACTGACAAAAAAAAAAAGGAAAATTCATCCCAATTTTTTTTAAACTTATTTTTTTTAATTGTGAAAATACCATATGGAGGGGTTACAATTACATGGGCAAGATAATGAGTGCATTTCTTATCAAGCATCGGTTGCCTCCTCCTTTGTTCCCCTTCCCATCCCTTCCCCTCCCCACTTCTGCCCCTCCTCCCTCCCACCCCCCCCCAGCCAAAATTGTATCATTTCACCTTAGTACTTATTTTTGCCTTTGAGCTGGTTCTTTTGGTGCTATGTATGGAAAATATATTCTCCATAGTTAATTATTTGATCAATGATATTCTCCATAGTTAATTATTTGATCAAATTCCACAAAATCCTTTTATAAGCTTAGTTGAAGGTCAGTCTTCTTAAATATTAAATCAAATGGGTTGACCTTATCTTGTCATACAAAGTATGTGAGTCATGTAGAAAGTATATTTTAATCTTTTATAAATAGATCCTTACCAACATCACTACTGAATTCCATCAAGAGAAGAGGCAAATCTATCAAAACAAATTGTCCTTAATCGTAAAATTATAGAGCATGTGTTTGTCTTGAAGAGAGAATAAAATGAGATGTATAATCAAATCTAACAGAAATAGAGTATTCAAAAAAAAATAAAGCAGTTGAGATCTCTAGGTAATTTGCTCTTTATGTTTCTCATCAGCAAGAATTTACCATGCCCGGATTGTGGTACTGCCAAACAAAGAACAATCTGCAAAGAAAATGATTGACATTTTCTCTTTATTGTCAGCAGGAATGAGGCGGTGAGAAACTATAGATAGAACTTATCAGTTAAAAGTTTGCAAGATGTCAGATAACTATTCCAAAGGGCACCCAAGTACTCCATAACAAATAAACGCTTAATAATTAAGTATTATTAGTCAATATACATGTGGAGGCAGACAGGGAATTCTTATACTTAGCTATACCATAACAAGAAGTCTATGACTCGCTTCTTCTTGAAGTGTAAAAGCTTCCCAGGATTGATAGCTAAAGGTAACGGTAGATTTACATACTCAGTAACTTTTTTAATAGTACAAAGTTAAAGAACCATGTCATAGGATCAGATGTAATGGCTTATCCTTCTAATCCCAAATCCTTGGCAGGTACAAGCATGGAGGTTGGAGGCCAGCTGCATAAATATTAGTGAAACTCTATCTCTAAGGAAAAGTTGCATGTGGTGTAGCACATCTGTAATGCTAGATGCAAGGGAGACAGTGGTAGGATGATTGTGGCCAAGGCTAGTCCCAAGCAAAAGCATAAGTCTCTATTTAAAAGGTAACCAAAGCATCTAGCTGCTAGATGCTTTGGAGCATGACTGTAATCATAGCTATCCAGAAAGCTGGGACCTAGAGGATCACAGTTTGAAGCCAGGCCGAAAAGTCTTGAAAACTCCTTTCCTTATTAACCAGTAAAATGCTGGACAAAGGTATGGCTCAACTTATGACAAGAAAGCTGAGAAAGAACATGAAGCCGTGAGTTCAAACTATCGATACCAGTACAAGCAAGAAAAAAGAACTAAATCCAAGGTGTTTGGGAGCATGATTCAAGTGGGAGAACACAAGTTTAGCAAGATTAAGTCCCTGAATTCAAACCTTGATGCCACCAAAAGAAAAAAAAATAATAGCCATTTGTCTAAGAATCGTAAATAAGTACAAGTGAACTTTATATAAAGATGTAACAACAGATGAATTTTTTTGATATTTTCTATATGCATACATTTTACGTTGAATTAAAAAAAACTATTTGGTTTAGCACCATAATTTGGAAACTTGAAGTTCACAACTTTTACATTTTCTGTAAGCATATGCAGTAATATTCCTATTGGTTGTAGTACTGGGTTCTAATTACAGTGATTAAATAAACACATTCCTTCTAGATAGCATATGTAGAATGCTGTATAGAATAGTTAGAACCACCTTGTACCATTTCAGGAGTAAAGGCTTACACCATAGCATAAATGGCCTAGGGAATGTTAAATCATTAGAAAAGCTGCCAGAGAGTGTTAGGTATCCGTGGTCATGGAAGACAGTGATGAAAGTGAAAACATGTTAAAGTTCAAAGTTCACATCAATGGCAAATGCAGTTGTTTGAGGTTGAGCGTCAAAACAGGGCAAACATATATCCCATCTATAAGATGAAAGGGTCAGATTTTGAAAATGTCTAGGGTCTTCTGGTGCCATTGGTCCACCCATGACCAGATCTCCTGGGCTGGTGGTTAGGGAGAACCGCACCTAACTCAGAACCTGTTGAAACAAGAACTGAAAGTGATGAACTCCAAGGTCAGGAAGAACGTGGACAAAAGAGCATACTCAAAGAGAGTCAGATGAAATTGTATAGCTGTATGAATCCAGTTTAAAATAAATCAATGTAAAAAGCATTTCTGTGTTCTTTTCATTTTTTCTTTGTTTTCATGAAACAGTGGAGGCGCTTCATTTGGGAACATTAATGGCTGCCCACGGCTACTTCTTCCCCATCTCAGATCATGTCCTCACACTTAAGGATGATGGTACCTTCTACCGGTTTCAAGTAAGTTGGAATAAAAATGTTCTTTCATGATAAACTAGACATTTCCCTTTTGTTGGTTATTCTTTTATTTTTACAGAACTTTAAAAAAAAGTGTGTGTTATTTTACTTAGATTAGTTAGACTCTGGTTTCTGTTAGAATTAAGACACAAAAAATAATGAATGAAGAGAACAATGAGAAGGTGTAAAGAGGTGGTGATTTGTGACAGATGAACTGAATAATGGTTGTGGTTATATTTTATATGGAAAACCTAAGGAAATTTCAGTAACAGACTTACTGGAATTCAGGACGATGGAAGAGTCTTCATTTCTAAGTTGTATGGAACTGGTAATAAATTGAACCATGTAACTTAATATTATACACTGGCCTTTGCCTGTGAACCAGAACCATCGTCAGTCCCAGGAAATTTTCAAGGGAATGTTTGAAATTCTAGGGTAGAATTTAAACATTTATGCAAACTCCGTCTTGCCAATGTCTGATGCTAGCCCTGCTATCTGTCTATGAAAACTGACATGAACACATAGAATGGTTACACTAACCCAAGACATACATAACACCTTAAAAATTGTGCCAACTGGCAAGAGTCAGTCTATATCATTTCCAAATGTGACAGAGACAATTATTCTGTTAGGAGGTGATTGATGACTAATTTTAGTTACTCCTTATACAATTGATGCTTGGTTCACAATGATTTCCTTTAAGTTTATCTGATATTTTATTAGAAGTGGTAGTTCATGCAAAAATAATTAGTGGATTCCAACCTAGAAAATTAAGGCACATAGAATGTCATTGTTCAGGACTGAATAGATATCTCAATGGTAGCATGCACGCAACCCTGGTTCCATCTCATCTTGGCACAAAAATGATAACTCTGATTTTTAAACTGTAACTTATTAATGATACTTTGTTTTTCTGGAGAGTTCTTTCCATTGTCCACTTTCAGAAGTTGGAGGATTTTTCTCATTTGTTCTGAGTATTATTAACCATTCTATAAATAAGTGACTGAGTAGCAGTTTGATTTAATAAACCTTGCAGGAAGATAAAATAGATTATATACTTTAAAAAATTCCTCTCAGAGATCATTGACTTCCTTACCCAGTCACAGTCCCAGTTCTTTAGGGCAATTTAATTCCTGGGATCAGAGTTTTTTTTTTTTTTTTTTTTTTAGTGAATGACGGAAAACACAACAATCTCTTGAAAGGCTAATGTTGACCTTAATATTCAAGCACTTGCAATTACTTAACTTGTTAAATTTAAAAACATTTTGAACCTGCTGTCTATAATTCTAGCTAATTGAACGCATCTAAAATTCTAGCTATTTGGGAAGTAGGAACAAAAAGATCACAAGTTTGAGGATGGTCCAAGCAATGTTAGTGAGAAGTAGCTCAAATATTGTTTTGAAAATACTACAAGCTTTTGTTGTTTAGTTTTTATTCATAATCATAAACTTAACTCTGCAATCCACTTAGATAGTCTTGGAGAGGAGTAAGAAAAACATGGAACCCAAAGAACTGAAGTAAGAGCACAAAGATGACAGGATATTGCAAGCAGATGGGGTAGAAAGGTGTTCTCCTGAGCCACAGACAGAATGGTCTGGTGGTTACAGTAAACCATGTCAAATGTGTTAGAGTTGTCCAATATAGTTGAAACTAGCTAACCTCTTATTAAGTGAGAGCAGCGTATAGTCCAAAAAGTTAACACTATAATATGTAAAAGATATTGGTGATTAGCAAATAAGCTATTTATATATGATTAATAGTTCTCAATTTTTCAAGGAGCCTCTTCACTGTTGCATTTTCAAAATAATTCATCCCTATCCACTTCTGTAACTAGACCTAGATATGATATTTTAGTAAATCTACTAATCATATAATCCTAAAACAAAAAAAGAATAAAAATGAAAAGTCAAGATTAATTGAATTTATACTGTAATGTCTACCATGGCATTGATTAGTCTGTGCTCAAATGGCACTACTAAGAGAAAACATATTGCCATCCCCTGTATTCACTTTCCACTTTTATGTTGGTTCCAGGCAGCTAAAAGGTCCTCATTAAACTCAGCTGAAATTCAACTCCTTGTATGGCTTTCAAATATCATGAGTTAAAAACAGGAAATTCGTGATGCTCTGTTTATGATGTTTGCAGTGAATCATGGCTGTTCTGGCCATCATTTAGCATTCATGGAATCTTTACAGTGTAAGTCAGAGACAAACAGAACTATAACTAACTTTTGCTGGCAGCCATAGTGAATTTGTCTTTAATTTTTAGTACATGTAACAGCATGATTTTCTCATTTATTGTGACCTTTCAGTTATCTAATTAATTTCTCTTTGCTAGTTGGAATTGAGATCTGGCATGATTCTCTAGTTAGTAGTTTTTCATGTCTCCCTTCATATCAATTCACATGCCAGAGGTTACAGAACAACACTGAGCTATTTTGGATGAGTTTCATAGTAGCTAAGGAAGTGAACACTGAAAAACAGAGACACTCATGCATTAAAATGTCCTAAAGATTAGTAGGACTATAAAGACAGGTTTTAAATGTCAACAAACTGTAAGGTTTGTTACTTTACTATCTATTCTCATAAATCAAAACATTTTGTTTCCATAATGGAGGTGTGGCTCAAGTGGAGAGCACTAGTTGTGAGCAAAGGAGGAGGCAACAATGCTTGATAAGAAATGTACTCATTACCTTGGTCATGTAACTGTAACCCATCTGTACAGTATTTTCAAAATAAAAAAAACTTATTAAGAAAAGAAATAAAAAAGGCAGCCAAGTGAGAGTGATAAGTCCTGTAGAAGCACAAAAACAAAACTAAATAAAATATTGTTTCCTAAGTAAGGTCTCCCCATATTAGTGAAGGATATCATGTCTCTCCTAGAATCTTGCTCCAATTTTATCTCAAAGAAATCACATTAATCAAACGCCAGATTCCAGAGAGACATATGGGGTTTTGGGTGACAAGAGTCTTGATACTCATGTAAGTCTTGATACTTTCTTTGTCTAGTAGTTCAATCCTTCTTCCTTCTAAATTCCACTATGATTTCATTCTTAATTTACAAAAAAGAATCACTCTTCTTAGTACATTGTCAAAATTCCCAAGAAATGAAGGTAAGTCAGATTCTCTGGGTGGATCTCTGACAATTAGGATAGCTTCCCCTCCCAGAATTGCAAACAGGTCTCGTCAGCTACCATTCTCTACTCATTAAGAGTCATTCTTTTGGAGAGTAGCATCATCATAATAATCAGAAATTACCCTAACCTTGCACATTGCACATAAATATTTTGTATGACCTGTTAACAAAGGCAATTAATCCCTCTTGTAGTATGCAGCCAGTGTTCCACTAGTCACTGCCATAGTTGCCACTCCAGGGAAAAGGGTCAGAAAAACAGAGTTGGCTGGGAACATGGCTCAGCAATAGACCTCTTTCTTGGCATGAGTAGAAAAAAGCAGGCAGGTGTCCTCATGACTCCTCAGGCTAGATCTAGCTGGTGGGGCTAGAAATGTCCTTTTAGAAAATATAAAATGCTGATGTTCTTAACAAGGGCTTACCTGATTATTTGTTTGTATTTACATCAATGGATTTAGAGAATTTTACAGAATCAGAATTCTACAGAACTCTACTGTTTGTGAATACATCAACTAAGACATTATTTCTGGCTTGCACAGTTAAAAATGTAGAGCAATAAATGTCTTTATGAAGGTAGGAGCTTGTTTTAATCTGGATGTGTTTTAATCTTAAAGTTGTATTACAAAGGTAAAGGAGACAAGCAAATAAATTCGTCATATCTCAGACAAAGATTTGGTACATTGAGATTTTGGTCTATCAAAGGCAAGTCTGTGCTACATAATGTAGAGAGAACAATTTGTTGAATATAAGCGTATTGCATGCAGAATCCTGCTGGAAATCATACTCTGCTTTCAGCCTTCCCTGTGGATACAAACTGAATAACTTCAAGCCCATTGATGTATAACTGTAGCTTAACCAAGTTGTTTCTGTGCATGTTTGCAATTGGTTGGCAAAGAAGATGTAGATGAAAACCTCACAGTGTCTCTAGATTACTACATATATATATATATAGTTGAATAGTTATATAGTTATATTTACAAGGAAACTTTTAATAATTATTAAAGATGGATTCAGTTCATAAACCAGAAACTCTACCCAATTTTTTATGTGTCTAACCTAAGTTCCACTTCTTTTTGCTCCACAGACACCCTACTTTTGGCCATCAAATTGTTGGGAGCCAGAAAACACAGACTATGGTTAGTTCAATAATCTCATAATTTTGTTTATAATACTAGTGTGTCTGCATGTTTGTGTACTTGTGTTTCTTACTTTTGTCCCTAAGAGGTGAAACTCCAAGGCTCAGTTTGGGACAGATATTTATAACACAGGATAGATGAATTACCTTGTTTGGAAAGTCTCCAACTTTGTGGAAACGTTTTCTATAGTATAATGCTCTCTACAGCTTTAAAATGGATTGAAGAGCTATAACAAGCCTTAAAGATTATTATTGCTTTTTTATAGCATCATGGTCTACTGGAAAGAATAACAAAAAGTCCGTAAGAGCAAGTGCTTTAGTTTGACCTGTTCACTTAGCTGTATGATTTTAAATTCCTTTGACTCCCCAAAATTTCACTTTTCTCACTGTTATATGAGGCATTCTATGATTCTTAACTTGAACTTGCTAGCTAGGATCTGCAGAACATAAACCTCTATTAATCAGTATATATGAGAAAAAACACTATTTTATGATTATTGTAAAAAAGGTGTTGCATGGGTTATCCTCAATGACTAAAATGAACCAATAAGGACAAAAGGGCCTAAAATCTCAATAAATTCTATTCATTGGAAGTAGGTAAACTGTGATGTGTGACTGCTCATTTATAAAATTGTTAGAATGCTGCTTATGAGATTCACCAAAAAAGTTTTATCCAATGAAATCAATAATGATGACACAATTATAAATATTACTGTTCGATTTAAGTCATGAACATCAGTCTTCTAAAATGTTGGTTAAATTAGAACACTAAAGAACAGTAATAAAGATAACCCCCCCGGAAATTCTCTGCAATTTTCCATTGCAGAGAGAATTGGCAACTTGTTGACCTTCATGACAAAGTTCTTAATAAAGTCTGAATTAGAGACCTCTGTACATCCTATTATGTAACTATTTCAAGCTGAGTGTGGTGGAAGAAAGTCCCCAAAACATCATCTCAACCAATAAAAGCTGGGCATGGTGGCAAGCACCTGTCATGGAGGTATATGGAAGCTGGGAAGTATAAATAAGAGGAAAGTGAGGTGTGATCCAGACAGTTTATGGGTACAAAAGCTAAACACTAATTGAAAAATGACTAAAATGAAAAGGGGTGAATATGAGGGTCACATATAAGACTACACTGCTAATATTCCTGAAGCCCTGAGTTTAAATCCAACTAATTTAAAAACTTTAGGAAAAAAACTGGGAGAGAGAGCAAAGGAACAGGTAATATTGTCCAAAAAGATAGGTACTCATTACCTGACTTATGTAACTTATGTAACCCCTCTGTATATGGCCTTTATAAACACAATACAAAATAAAAACATAATTTCAGTTCTTATACTCCAAGTCATAATTGTAACCTTCAGATTTGCAATTCTCTACACCAAAATTGAAGGATGTAATTGTAGTTGTGGGTCACTTTACTATCTAGAATAGGGGCCCACTATGCTGGCCAAGCTTTGAGATTCATGGATTTTTCTGTTTAGATTAACAAGTTTGCCAGGCCTAATTCCTTGGGTAAGCCAAGTGTTCTTCCACTTTCTTCTGAATTGTTGACCCAGATCTACTGGGTCCTTTTCAAATGACAGCACAGAGGTAATCTGGTTAATGCAACTGGAGAGAGGAAGGGGTTGCTATTTTGGATCCAAGGTGCTGGAAATGTCTTGATTTAGGTGGACCTTATTCCTGGTAGTGGAGGAGTTGATGAGGGCTCAGAAGACTTAAAGATATCCATGTCCAAGCAAAACTCCTTATGTTCATGAAGTCTTAAGATCTACACATTTATTTCAGTAGTATATTAACTAAAAAAAGCATGTTTATTTCATTTAGTGTTTCTCTAAATTCCTAATTATTGTTCCCTAGATAAAAATATAAAATATTGTTGCTTATTAAGGCTATTGTGTGTGTGCGCATATATATATGTGTGTGTGCATGTGTGTGTGAGTGTATGTGTGCGTGTGTGTGCGTGCATGTGTGTGCGTGTGTGTGTGTGTGTGTGTGTGTGTGTGCGCGCACATGCGAGTAAGTTCTGAGACTTGAATTCAGGGCCAGGGCATTGTCCCTAAGCATTTGGACTCAAGTCTAGCACTCTACTTCTTGAGCCACAGCTCCTTGTCTAGCCTTTTTAGTGGTTAATTGGAGATAAGAATCTATTGGACTTTACAATCCAGGCTGGCTTTGAACTGTGATCCTTCGATCTCAGCCTCCTGAGTAGCTAGGATGTGAGCAACCTTATTAAGGAGGCTTTTTGAACACTTTGTTTAAGGTCAAGTGATTTGGCTAAAATATTTTCTTCAATTAAAATCTTATTATGGGATTACTCACATAATGGATTCAGCATAGTGAAGAAATTTGATTATTTTGTTTCTTCATTGTCTTGACAGAAAGGAATTTTTTTTTACTTTGTAGCATATATTTACTTTTATGTAAAAATAATCAATTAAATGGTAGCAATGAAAAAGCAACAATAAAACCCTAACAGAGAAAAATACGATGAATGAAAATAGTTTGCAAAAGTTCAAAACTGAAAGAACTGTACAGAAGGTAGAAAATATTTACATATAAATGAAAACTACTTTTGAAATAAACAAGGAAATTTGTACTATTTTTATTTCAAAACTACCAACCTGAGGACACCAGCCAGGTTTAAAACTTTTATGAATGTAGCTAGTTAGATTGTTAATGTCAGTGTTAACCTCTGACTTCTTGCAGCCAGGGAAAGCAGAGCTAGAGAAAACCTGAAACATCCAATTTTGTCATCTCAATGATTTGGCTGAGTTCTAAGAGCTTGCTAAGCCAACACCATAGCTTCCATTACCAGCCAGTGTCTTCTATAGAAGACACTGAGAAGTTAAATAATAAAAAAAGATACTTGAATTTGTACTTCAGGAATAATGTCTGTATCTTCTTCTTTAATGACAACAACTTTTCTCACGTTAAGTATACTAAAAATATTTCTAGCTTTGTTAGGTCAAAGTTCTACCAAGGTGTGTTTGATAGGACTTACTTAAGCTGTGCTTCTCCCCCCCCCCCGAGTTTGAGGTATTAGATTCTTATAAAAGAACTTTCTCATTCAGCCAAAAATGTCTCTGTAAGGCATCCCAATGTCCTGCTGTTGTTTTTTGCTTTCTTTGCGAAGTACTGGCTGGATCCTCACTATTATGATAAAAGCAACAGTGATAGCATACTGTACTCCCAGATCACTGCAATTCTTTGAGTTCTGGTGCTTTATCTCAGTCTGGGTTCTTCACAGGGTGAAGCCAAAGGCAAGGCTAGCAAGGACTTCTCAGATCTTTGATTTTTGTGAGCTAGGAGAGAACCATGGTTAGCTTAGGTTATATGCAGACTGTCTCGGCAGAGACAGAGGGATAGTGTTAAAGCCAGATATAACCCACAAGCTGTTTCCAAAGTGGCTAGCACAGTCTTGCATGATATTACCAGACACTAGCTAGAGACCCTAGTCTCCAACTGGTGTATCTGCTTCTCAGGCCACTGTGGTGAACATGCACATTGAGAATTTCCTTGATGACACCTGTGACATGGAGCAGGTGATATGGCACAGGACCCTAACTCTCATACTTTTGTTCAAACCATTACATGAGCACAGCATAAGAGAATCAAGATATATTTGCAGATGTACTCTGGTAGAGTGATTATGTCAGGAATGATAAAAAAAATTCAATCAACTAACATGCCAACTGGGGCTTTGAGTCTACAACAACTGATACCACATGTAGGCCTGGCATGTGTCATGGTCCTATTATCCATTTGCCTTCAATTCTACATTATGTGGTATGTAGTTTAGCTAATTTATAGACATTGTCTGTGTTAGGCAATAGGTGAAAACTTTTGCAGACATCTGTGAGAAGTCTGCAGAGATAGAAACATTTATCCATCTAACCCACAACAGAGAGAATTCTTATCTTTTACATTATATTTCTAGTATCTATTTCTGTGTGTATACTGCTCTTGCTTCTTGAACTCAGGGCATGGGGGGGTGACCTGAGATTTTGTGCTCAAGGCTAATGCTCTACCACTTGAGCCATAGCTCTACTTCTAGCCTTTTTGGTAATTAGTTGGAGATAAGGGTCTCACAGACTTTTCTGCCCCACTGCCTTCAAATCCAGATCCTCAGATCTCAGTCTCCTAAGTAGCTAGAATTACAGAGGTGCCAGGATATTTTTATTATCTTTAAACAGTTATACTAAAGAGTTACCATTCAATAAATCAGTTCATGAGTTCACTGTATCTTGAATGATATCATCAGCTATGTCGCTCAATCTAATTCATTTCTTTAATTTTCTTAATTTCTTTTTTTATTGTGAAAATACTGTACAGAGGGGTTACAATTACATGGGCAAGATAATGTGTACATTTCTTATCAAGCATTGTAGCCTCCTCCTTTGTTTCCCCTTCCCATCCCTTCCCATTCCCTCCCTCGGAAACCCCCCCCCACACACCAAAGTTGTAAAGTTCGTTTTTCGACATAACAACTTGTATATCTCATTGTTCCAATGAGTCCACCTGTATCCCTATTTAAACGATTTGTTTTTTCCCTTCCCATCCACAAGTTATATCAACATCAAATACAGTGAAAGCAGGGGTTATACCATGGGGGAGGGACATACAATGCAACAAAGAAATAATCTTATAAATGTGTTAGAAACAATCTCATGAAAGAAAAAAAAAACATTTGAAAACATATCTTAGGGTTCATTTCCCTAGCATCAACTTATCTGACCTTTTCTGCTTCACTCAGACATATAGTTAGTTATTGCAAATAAGGGAAACCATGGGACCTATGATTCTTTGGGCCTGGCTTGCTTCACTTAATATAATTTTGTTAAAGTCTTTCCATTTCCTAACAAACGGGGCAATGTCATTCTTTGTGATGGAGGCATAGAATTCCATTGTGTATATATACCACATTTTCTTGATCCATTCATCTACTGAGGGGCATCTGGGTTGGTTCCATATCTTAGCTATGGTAAATAGTACTGC